TCTTAGGGCCTCCGGAAGTGAACTGGGCTGAACTGGGAGTGACTGGGATAAACTGGGAGAGACTGGAAAAGCCACTTAAGAGCACTGGGATGAACTGGGCTGAACTGGGAGGCCCCATGAAGGAAACTGGGAATGGGCTGGGCTGAACTGGGATGGACTGGGAAATGTTCTTAGGGCCTCCGGAAGTGAACTGGGCTGAACTGGGATGGACTGGGAGAGACTGGGAGGCACTGGGAGGGACTGGGCTGAACTGGGCTGAACTGGGCTGGGTAATTAGGGTCCCTGGGCCAAACTGGGAGGCACTGGGATAAACTGGGAGGAACTGGAAAAGCCACTTAGGAGCACTGGGATGAACTGGGAGGCCCCGTGAGGGGAACTGGGCTGAACTGGGATGGACTGGGATGGACTGGGAGGCCCTGTGGGGGGAACTGGGTTGAACTGGGAGGGAACTGGAAAAGCCACTTAAGAGCACTGGGATGAACTGCGCTGAACTGGGATGGACTGGGCTGAACTGGGATATACTGGGCTCTTAGGGCCTCCGGAAGTGAACTGGGCTGAACTGGGAGTGACTGGGCCAAACTGGGCTGAACTGGGAGGCCCGGTGGGAGGCACTGGGATAAACTGGGAGTGACTGGGATGAACTGGGAAAGGCTCTTGGGGCCTCCGGAAGTGAACTGGGCTGAACTGGGAGGGACTGGGATGGACTGGGAGGGACTGGACCAAACTGGGATAAACTGGGAGGCCCTGTGGGGGGAACTGGGCTGAACTGGGAGGGAACTGGAAAAGCCACTTAAGAGCACTGGGATGAACTGCGCTGAACTGGGTTGGACTGGGCTGGGTTGGGCTGTGATGGGCTCTTAGGGCCTCCGGAAGTGAACTGGGCTGAACTGGGATGGACTGGGATGAACTGGGCCAAACTGGGCTGAACTGGGAGGCCCGGTGGGGGGAACTGGGTTGAACTGGATTGAACTGGGAAAGGCTCTTGGGGCCTCTGGAAGTGAACTGGGCTGAACTGGGAGGGACTGGGAATGCACTGAGAGGCCCCCTGAGGGAAACTGGGCTGAACTGGGAGTGCCTGGGCCAAACTGGGCCGAACTGGGCTGAACTGGGCTGAACTGGGCTGAACTGGGAAAGGCTCTTAGGGCCTCCGGAAATGAACTGGGAGTGACTGGGAGGGACTGGGATGGACTGGGAGGCACTGGGCCAAAGGGGGCTGAACTGGGAGGCCCCGTGAGGGAAACTGGGCTGAACTGGGCTGAACTGGGCTGAACTGGGAAAGGCTCTTAGGGCCTCCGGAAGTGAACTGGGCTGAACTGGGAGTGCCTGGGCCAAACTGGGCCGAACTGGGCCGAACTGGGCTGAACTGGGAGGAACTGGGAAAGCCTCCGGAAGTGAACTGGGCTGAACTGGGAGTGCCTGGGCCAAACTGGGCCGAACTGGGCCGAACTGGGCTGAACTGGGCTGAACTGGGCGGGGTCGCCGGACCGGCCGGGGCGGCTCCGCGGGGATTTAAAGCGGCGGCGCCTTCCTCACCCTCCTCCTCCTCCTCCCCATGGAGCGCCTGCTGCCCCTGCTGCTGCTGGCCACTGGTTTGTACTGGGATATACTGGTTTATACTGGGAGGGACTGGGGGCAAAAAACCCGGTGGTTTTGGGGTGAAAAATGGGATTTTAGGGGTGAAAATGGGGGTTTTATGGACAAAAATGGGGATTTAGGGGTTAAAAATGGGACTGGGAGGGACTGGGTTATACTGGGTTATACTGGTTTATACTGGTTTATACTGGGAGGGACTGGGGGCAAAAAACCCGGCGGTTTTGGGGTGAAAAATGGGGATTTTAGGGTGAAAATGGGGGTTTTATGGACAAAAATGGGGATTTAGGGGTTAAAAATGGGACTGGGAGGGACTGGGTTATACTGGGTTATACTGGTTTATACTGGTTTATACTGGGAGGGACTGGGGGCAAAAAACCCGGTGGTTTTGGGGTGAAAAATGGGGATTTTAGGGGTAAAAATGGGGATTTTAGGGGTAAAAATGGAGGTTTAAGGGTTAAAAATGGGACTGGGAGGGACTGGTTTATACTGGTTTGTACTGGTTTATACTGGGAGGGACTGGGAGCAAAAAACCCGGTGGTTTTGGGGTGAAAAATGGGGATTTTAGGGGTAAAAATGGGGATTTTAGGGGTAAAAATGGAGGTTTAAGGGTTAAAAATGGGACTGGGAGGGACTGGTTTATACTGGGTTATACTGGTTTGTACTGGGAGGGACTGGGAGGGAAAATCCTGGCGGTTTTGGGGTGAAAAATGGGGATTTTAGGGGTGAAAATGGGAGTTTAAGGGTTAAAAATCAGGATTTTAGGGCTAGAAAGGCCACTGGTTTGTACTGGGATATACTGGGATAAACTGGGAGGGACTGGGAGGAAAAAACCTGGAGGATTTGGGGTGAAAAATGGGTATTTTAGGGGTGAAAATTGGGATTTTTAGGGGTAAAAATGGAGGTTTAAGGGTTAAAAATGGGACTGGGAGAGACTGGTTTATACTGGTTTGTACTGGGTTATACTGGGAGGGACTGGGAGGGAAAATCCTGGCGGTTTTGGGGTGAAAAATGGGGATTTTATGAGAAAAAATGGGGATTTAAGGGTTAAAATGAGAGGTTTAGGGGTAGAAAGGGAACTGGGAGGGACTGGGTTATACTGGGTTATACTGGTTTATACTGGGAGGGACTGGGGGAAAAAACCCGGAGGTTTTGAGGTGAAAAATGGGGATTTTAGGGACAAAATTGGGGATTTTAGGGGTGAAAATGGGACTGGTTTATACTGGGAAGGAACTGGGGGTGCTGCCCCTGCTGCTGCTGGCCACTGGGTTGTACTGGTTTATACTGGTTTATACTGGGAAGGACTGGGAGAAAAAAACCCGGAGGTTTTGGGCTGAAAAATGGGTATTTTAGGGGTGAAAATGGGGGTTTAAGGGTTAAAAATAGGGGATTTAGGGGTAGAAAGGGAACTGGGAGGGACTGGGTTGTACTGGGTTATACTGGTTTATACTGGGAGGGACTGGGAGGAAAAATCCCGGCGGTTTTGGGGTGAAAGATGGGGATTTTAGAGGTGAAAATGGGGATTTTTGGGGAAAAATGGGGGATTTAGGGGTAGAAAGGCCACTGGTTTGTACTGGTTTATACTGGGAGTTACTGGTTTATACTGGGAGGGATTGGGAGGGACTGGGGGGAAAAATCCCGGCAGTTTTGGGGTGAAAAACGGGGATTTTAGAGGTGAAAATGTGGGTTTTATGGACGAAAATGGGGATTTATGGGTTAAAAATGGGACTGGGAGGGACTGGTTTATACTGGGAGGGACTGGGGGGAAAAAACCTAGAGGATTTGGGGTGAAAAATGGGGATTTTAGGGATAAAACCAGGAATTTTATGGAGAAAAGGGGGACTGGGTTATACTGGTTTATACTGGTTTATACTGGGAGGGACTGGGGGGAAAAAACCCGGTGGTTTTGGGGTGAAAAATGGGGATTTTAGGGGTGAAAATGGGGGTTTTAGGGGTGAAAAATCAGGGATTAAGGGGTAGAAAGGGAACTGGGAGGGACTGGGATGGACTGGTTTATACTGGTTTATACTGGGAGGGACTGGGGGGAAAAAACCCGGCGGTTTTGGAGTGAAAAATGGGGATTTTAGAGAAAAAAAAGGGATTTTAGAGGTGACAATGGGGATTTAAGGGTTAAAAATGGGGAATTTAGGGGTAGAAAGGCCACTGGTTTGTACTGGTTTATACTGGGAGTTACTGGTTTATACTGGGAGGGATTGGGAGCAAAAAACCCGGCGATTTTGGGGTAAAAAATGGGGATTATAGAGGTGAAAATGGGGATTTAAGGGTTGAAAATGGGACTGGGAGGTACTGGTTTATACTGGTTTATACTGGTTTATACTGGGAGGGACTGGGAGGAAAAAACCCGGTGGTTTTGGGATTAAAATTGGGGATTTTAGGGGCTAAAATGGGGATTTAGGGGCAAAACCAGGAATTTTATGGAGAAAAGGGGGATTGGGTAATACTGGTTTATACTGGTTTATACTGGGAGGGACTGGGGGAAAAAACCCAGAGGATTTGGGGTGAAAAATGGGGATTTTAGGGTTAAAAATGGGACTGGGACAAACTGGGATCAACTGGGAGGGAACTGGGATGAACTGGGGAGCACTGGGAAGGAGCTGGGATGAACTGGGATGTACTGGGATGAACTGGGGGGCACTGGGAGACACTGGGGAAGGATTCGGGGGCCACTGGGAGCAAACTGGGATGAACTGGGAGGCACTGGGAGGGAACTGGGATGAACTGGGATGTACTGGGAAGGAACTGGGGGCCACTGGGAGGGAACTGGGATGTACTGGGATGTACTGGGAAGGAACTGGGGGCCACTGGGAGGCTGCTGCTGCTGGCCACTGGAGAGACTGGTTTATACTGGGAGGGACTGGGACAAACTGGGAGTGAACTGGGATGGGACTGGGATGAACTGGGAGACACTGGGGAAGGATTCGGGGGCACTGGGATGGAACTGGGATGAACTGGGAAGGACTGGGATGAACTGGGATGAACTGGGAAGGAACTGGGATAAACTGGGAGGGCGCTGCTGCTGGCCACTGGTGAGACTGGTTTATACTGGGAGGGAACTGGGAGGGACTGGGAGGGAACTGGGATGAACTGGGATGAACTGGGAGCACTGGGAGACACTGGGGAAGGATTGGGGAGGCACTGGGAGGGAACTGGGATGAACTGGGATGGAACTGGGATAAACTGGGAGGGCGCTGCTGCTGGTCACTGGTGAGACTGGTTTGTACTGGGAGGGACTGGGAGCAAACTGGGATGAACTGAGGGGCACTGGGAGGGAACTGGGGAAGGATTGGGGAGGCACTGGGAGCAAACTGGGATGAACTGGGACAGACTGGGATGAACTGGGGGCCACTGGGAGGGAACTGGGATGTACTGGGATGAACTGGGATGGAACTGGGAGGGCGCTGCTGCTGGTCACTGGTGAGACTGGTTTATACTGGGAGGGACTGGGATGAACTGGGAGGGAACTGGGATGAACTGGGAAGCCACTGGGCCATACTGGGATGGAGCCAGAGGTGAACTGGGGATACTGGGAGGAACTGGGAGGAACTGGGAGGGACTGGGATGAGTGGGAGGCAATCGACGGGGTGGAACTGGTTTGTACTGGGAGGGTGAACTGGGGGCACTGGGAGCAACTGGGAAGAACTGGGAGGGACTGGGATGAACTGGGATGAACTGGGATGAACTGGGATGGCACCAGGAAGTCACTGGGAGCAACTGGGAGGGACTGGGAGGGAGTGGGCAGGAAGTGAGAGGTCACTGGGATGAACTGGGATGTACTGGGAGGGACTGGGATGGCACCAGGAAGTCACTGGGAGGGTACTGGGATGGACTGGGAGCAACTGGGATGGACTGGGATGGACTGGGATGGACTGGGAGGGTACTGGGATGGACTGGGAGCAACTGGGATGAACTGGGATGAACTGGGATGGACTGGGAGCAACTGGGAATGCACCTTGGGAGCACTGGGACAAACTGGGAGGTCACTGGGCTGAACTGGTCCATACTGGTGTGAACTGGGAGGTCACTGGGATGAACTGGGAATGCACCTTGGGGCACTGGTTTGAACTGGTCCATACTGGTGTGAACTGGGATGAACTGGGAATGCACCTTGGGGGCACTGGTTTGAACTGGTTTGAACTGGGATTCACTGGGAGGTCACTGGGCCGAACTGGTCCATACTGGTTTGAACTGGGATGGACTGGGATGAACTGGGACGGCCCTTTGGGGGCACTGGTTTGAACTGGTGTGAACTGGTGTGAACTGGTCCATACTGGTGTGAACTGGTTTGAACTGGTCCATACTGGTGTGAACTGGTCCAAACTGGTCTGTACTGGTCCAAACTGGTTTGAACTGGGAATGTCAGCAGCTGGTCACAGTTCATACTGGTTTATCCTGGTTTATACTGGTCCAAATTGTTCCATACTGGTTTATATCAGTCCTATACCGGTCCATACTGGTTTATACTGGTCCGTACTGGTCCATACTGGTTCAAACTTGTCCAAACTGGTCCATGGTGGTCCAAACCGATCCATACTGGTTTATACTGGTTCATACTGGTCCAAACTGGTCCAAACCAGTCCATAATGGTTTATACCGGTCCATACTGGTCCAAACTGGTTCATACTGGTTTATACTGGTCCAAGCTGGTCCGTACTGGTCCACACTGGTTCACACTAGCTTATCCCAGTCCATACAGATCCAAACTGGTTTTTACTGGTCCAAACTGGTTTTTACTGGTCCAAACTGGTTTATACTGGTTCATACCGGTCCAAACTGATCCATACCGGTCCATACCGGTCTGTACTGGTCCAAATTGGTCCAAACTGGTCCATGGTGGTCCAAACCGATCCATACTGGTTTATACCAGTCCATAGTGGTTTATACCGGTTCATACTGGTTTATACTGGTTTTTACTGGTCCATACCGGTCCATACTGGTTTATACTGTTCCAAACTGGTCTGTACTAGTCCATACTGGTCCTAACTGATTTATATTGGTCCAAACTGGTCCGTACTGGTCTAAACTGATCCATACTTGTTTATACTGGTTTGTACTGGTTTATACCAGTCTATACTGGTCCAAACTGGTTTATAGTGGTCCAGACTGGCTCATACTGGTTTATACTGGTCCATACTGGTTTATACTGGTTCAAACTGATTTATACTGGTCCAAAATGGTTTATACTGGTCCAGACTGGTCCAAACTGGTTTATACTGGTTCATACTGGTTTATACCAATCCAAACTGATCCATACTGGTCCAAACCGGTCCATACTGGTTTATACCGGTCCAGACTGGTTCATACTGGTTTATACTGGTCCAAACTGGTTTATACTGGTCCAAACTGGTTCATACTGGTTTATACTGGTCCGAACTGGTTTCTACTGGTCCCGCAGCGGCCGCCGCCGAGGACGAGAACCGCATCGTGGGCGGGGCCAAGTGCAAGCAGAAGCTCCACCCCCACCAGGTGCTGCTGCTGCAGCCGGGGGGCGGAGTCCACTGCGGGGGCGTCCTGATTGGCCGCAGCTGGGTGCTGACCGCCGCCCACTGCCAGAGCGACAGGTGAGATACACCTGGGGACACCTGGGGACACCTGGGGACACCCAAAATACACCTGGAGGGGATAGAAATACACCTGGGGACACCTGGGACACACCTGGGGACACCCAAAATACACCTGGGGACACCTGGACACAGCTGGGGACACCTGGGACACCCAAAATACACCTGGGGACACTCAAAATACACCTGGGGACAGGTGAGGGACACAAAAAATACAGCTGGGGGGAGAAAAACACACCTGGACACACCTGGGACACACCTGGGGACATCTGGGACACACCTGGGGACACCCAAAATACACCTGTGGACACACCTGGGGACACCTGGGGACACCTGGGACACTCAAAATACACCTGGGGACAGGTGAGGGACACCAAAAATACACCTGGGGGGAGAAAAACACACCGGAGGACAGCTGAGACACACCTGGGACGCACCTGGAGGGGATAAAAACACACCTGGGACACACCTGGGACACCTGGAGGGGACAGAAACACACCTGGGGACACCTGGGGACAGCTGCAACACACCTGGGGACACCTGGAGACACCTGGAGGGGACAGAAATACACCTGGTGACACACCTGGACACACCTGGAGGGGATAATAACACACCTGGGGACACCTGGGTACAGGTGAGGGACACCTGGGCACAGCTGAGCACACCTGGGATGGATAGGGACACACCTGGGGACACCTGGAGGGGATAGAAACACACCTGGACACACCTGGACACACCTGGGGGGGGCGGAGTCCACTGCGGGGGTGTCCTGATTGGCCGCAGCTGGGTGCTGACCGCCGCCCACTGCCAGAGCGACAGGTGAG